CGCCAGGCCCGCTGTCCCTGGTGCTCGCAGCCGGCCAGCGCCTGTGGCGCCTGCCCGCGCAGCTGGAGCACTGCACCCACGCGCTGCTCTGGGGCTGGGACCCCGAGCCGCGCGCTGGGCTCGACACGCAGCCGCTCCTGGTGGAAGGTGGGCGGGCGGCGCGCTGTGCGCTGCGCCAGCACGGGCGCGATGGGGCCGCACGCTTGACCTGTGTCTTTCATCGCTCTTTCGACGGCGCGTCCTTCTCTGAGCTTTGTCAGGGCACGCTCAGCTTGCCGGCCCCAAATAATCTCAACCTGTGCTCGGCCCCTCAATCCATGCAGGCCCCTTCCTACTGGCATCCCTCAATGACCTGCTCACGCGCGGCGCAGTCCTGGCGCAGCCGCTGCTGTCCAGCCGGCCGCTGCTGTCGACGGACGCGGCCCCGCGCCCCGCCGGCAGGCTGGGCGCCGCGGCCGCGGCGGCGCCCCTGGTGGAGTTTGCTGATGTCGCGCTGCCCTTGAGAGGCACCAGCAGCGCCGGCGCGGCGACGACCGACTCCCAGCAGCAGCAGCAGCAGCAGCAGCAGCAGCAGCAGCAGCAGGCAAAGGGGCAAGGGGCCGACGGCGGCGACGGCGGCGCGCACGGCGGCCTGCGCGTGCAGGCGGTCGCGCGGCGGTCGGGCAGGCATGAGGAGATCGATCTTCCCGGCTGCGTCGTCGCGGCGCTGGGGGAACTCGGGCTTGAGCAGGCGGTGGGGTACCTGCGGGTGCTGCGCATTGGGGGAGGCGGCGATGGACACGGCAGTGGCGGCAACAGCGGCACGGGGGCTGAGGAGAGTGCCGGGGCGGGCGGCGCGGCGTGGGTGCCGCTGGCGGTGCAGCTGGGGGTGCCGCTGCACGACCTGCAGCTGTGCAAGGATGTGTGCGCGGCGGCCGTGGCGGCCGATTTTCTGTCGCCGGCCAGCCGCGCGACCCACACGGTGGCGGCGCAGCTGCTGCAGGCGCAGCTCTGGGGGCTGGTGGGGCAGTACGGCGC